TTTTTTCTTTAAATAAGAGACAATACTAATGACAAGTGAAAACGATGAGTTTTATTTTTCGCATCACTTGAACACTCAGAGCGATAAAAATAAAGATGATGCGTTAGGCAAATAGTTATMTTTTAAAAATGCTYGCTYATGCTAATATATGAGTGAGCCAAATACRTGAGGAGTTTTTTGTGATGAGATCGTTAGTTAAGCTTGYGCTCTTGAGTATTTGAAATGATGTTCTCTTGCGGAATATTACTCATCAGAGCAAGAGCGTATTTTGATGGTTTTACGAACACTGGAACCATGTGGAATCCGCAATGAAGGAAGTTTGTTTCCGTTATGCAGTAACACTGCTTTCAAACTATTTTTTGAAGAGTCAATAAACAGTCGCCAGTGACTTGGATCATACTCGAAATTTAAAAAATTCATCACAACAGGAACATGATTACAATAGATAAATCACCTCCTTCAGTAAAAAGTAAGGGGTTATTTCAACGTCACGACGTCGAAGAAGAAGAAATCTTTCTACCACGAGAAAGTAAATTCCAGTCGTTTAATCTAGACCCCAAAAGCTCAGCCTGTTTTTTAGAGAGATTTAAATCACGTACTAAATCGTTTAAATCACGTTGTGTCAATAAGTGCGGTTCTTTTGAAGTTGACGGTTGATAACTTGAGTCACTATCTTCAGATACCTTATTATGCTGACTGAGAACAAATTCCGGACTAGAATTCTCACTTTTTGATCGATTTGGAGGCATTGGCACTGGCAGTTCGGCCCTATGTAGGATGGGTGTCTTGGCCGAAGACAAGTTTGTATACTGGATAGTGTGTTTGGATTTGGTAGTAATACCTTTTGTTTGAGTCAAACAAAAATAACAATCACTTAGAGTAAGTTTGGGTATTGTCATATAGGCATACTTTTTTCAATGACTAATCAACATTTTGAAAAGGAAACTAGTATAATTTCTATTAATGCGATGGGTTCAGGCATTTCCCAACATATTCCGAAATAGTATTGCATTTTGTTCAGTTTTGAGGAAGATATTTGTTTAAAACTATAAAAAGTCGAATACGTCGGTTTGTAAAAATGTGGTGGTAATGTGATATATCCCATCGGCTAATATGATATATCATACCAAATTACCCAAACCATTCCCAAAAAATTATGGTTTTTATTTAATTGAATTAATTCACTTATTTAAAGCAAAAATTCATATATTATATTTTATACAAAAAATAAACAAAACAAAATAATATTATAAAAGAAACAAATAAAAATTCAATAAAGTATGGAAGCATTTCTAATAGTTGGTATACATAGTAAAATATTTGAAAAGTCATTCACAAGACGCGCAAACGAATATTGCCTGACGTTTAGGGAGGCATTTGCTATGTGCCCAAACTAAGTCGCATTGCAAGCATGGAGTCCAAGTCATGACTTCCTCATCTGCCCCAAAGGTTTTATTGCAAAAAGCGCAGACGGTATCCTTAGTAGGAGGATTTTCTGCCCAACATTCCTCGTCTGAACTGGGTAATATCAAACTTTTATCCGACTCGCTTGATGCACTTTTCCTAGTCTGCTTTAACCGTTGTATTTTCCCAGCTACTTTACTCGGCATTATTGCCCGCTCACGCTTTTCTTCTTTTTGCGGTTTTCAGCATTTTTGATGCTTATTTCCAACGCTGCCTTATATGGTGATGTTGTAAGTATTGTCGCTTCTGAACGCTTACCTCTCAAACTAGTTTTCTGCATCAGCTTAGGTGGAGGTGAGATCTCCCATGGCGTGATTAAGTGCTGCATGGCTGTTTTACTTGTGCTAGCGATCGGTTCTTCTAAATCGCTTTCATCTCTGATTTGTGCGTCTTCCGCTTGATGTTTTTCATGAATAAAATCGCTTTCCTGAAAGTTGTTCTTATCAAATAGATAAATCCCAGTACATTTGAACCCATTAATAGCTATTTGCGCAGTTTGAACTTTAAGATAAGCTTTTGCCAAGAGTTCTACAACATCGAATTGTGTCACCTTTCGGCCTTCTTCACGCCTAAATCGTCTTATTTCCTCATTATAGTAAGTTTTAAGAGGTCCCATAAAGGATTTGTCCAAAGGTTGCATTTTATGCGTACAATGGGGTGGCAAGGATAAAATTATAACGCCTTTTTCACGAGCTTTATCAAGAACCTCAATATTTCTTGTATGGCTATAGTGACCATCTAAGATCAAAAGGACTGGGTTCTCCTTAGAAGGATGTGTAAACAGCATAAAATGGTCAAACCACATTGTAAATATTGGAATTTGTATCCATCCGGATATGTGACAGGCAGAATCGGAGCCAGGTGGAGCATGTTTCATTAAAAGCGGAGAAAAGTTTTTTCTTGAAAAAATGTTATTAGAGATCCACTCTCAGCTGATGTCGTGCATCCAATTTGTCTTTTGCCTTTTGCAGCTAAGTCTCTTGGCTGCCTACTTTGCACAATAGACACTCCTGTCTCATTCACGTTCCAAATCCTGTTTGGAGGAAATTCAAACTTTCATACTAGTTTTCCAGTAAACTGTAAAACTTGTTTACGTTCTCTTCATTGAAGCCTTTTATTCTGTCTAATGAAGTTCCAGTAGCACTGCGTATGCTTATTTCAGTCTTATGTCTTTTCAGAAATGCGCGCAACCAATCTCTTCCGGCACATTCCATCGTTATAGAAAATGGATTCACAATATTGTTGCGCTTTGTTATTTGAAAAGCAAGCGAGCGGACATCGCTACAAGTAAGCCACCAAAATTTTGCCTCCATATCTTTTAAATATCTTACCAGCTCCAATTCGACGTCTCTGCTAAAGACCGGTCTCTGGCCTAACGGCGTAGTTAAAACATCATCGACTTTTTTTATCACTACGAGCAGCTCTGTGCAAAGTTGCAAATGGAACACCGTACGTTTTCGATGCCAACAATATTCCCATTTTTTCTGCTCTAACAGCTTGGATTGCTTTTTGCATGTTTTCTGCATTCCACTTACGAATTTCCCCCTTTTTCGGCATGACCTATGGTTTTAATTTATGTTATTACTTCATACTGCTAAAAATAGTAATTAATTATATAAAAATATATAAATACTTCAAAAGTTGTTAAATATATTTAGCAGTAACCAAATTAAAATATAAGAAGTTAAAAATCTACACAAATTTTGGAATTATCTTCTCTTGCACGCTAAATTATTGACGACTGTGAAGCTGAAAATGTTTTTGCACAATGATGGTAATCTAAGCGCTGTGTGTCATCCGCATAACAAAAATTGTCCGTGTTGTTCAAACACTTTCGTGGCATATTTACGATCTAACTAATGTAAATCAAATGTAATTTAGCAAACACAATAGTTACACAGTCGACTAAATGCAGTTATGTAAACAAAGAAATGTATATGAGGTCAGAAATGAATATGTAGCTGTCACAAGAAAACTGGATGTCGTAGAAACAAAACTGTTATATACTTTTAATGAAGGTACACCAACATAAATAAAAATTATAACGAAGTTCATGTGACAAAAACAGTGTTTACCAGTGTAATCGTCAACTACAACAAAGGATTGTTACTTCTTTTTTTAATATTTTTCCCAATAACCACTTTGTACACAATGGAAAATGAAAGGAAATGATTATTTTACCTAAAAACATTGTTATTTTCCTCTTTCTTAAACAAAACTAGTCTTGGGATTGACATAATCTCTATGGCGTTGTCCACTCTTTTAAATGCTTGAGTAGTTTCTATTATCACGATTATCTTTCATACTTTTCTTTCTGTCATTTTCGTTTCTTTTAGCTGTTGTCACACTTTGTTACCACTTTAAGCTGACACGTTTCACGTTTTCCAGTGTTTGGGGGCATGTGGCCCCAACTTTTTCAACTTTGCCTGCCAGTTGCACCTTTATTTTTGGCATATCTGTAAATACTTCAGCGAGAAAGCAACTTTTTCATTGTCAGTGGCTTATTACTTTATGCAAAAACTTTTTGACATGGATTTGTTGTTTTCCAAATAGATTTCTTTAATGCATTTGATAAAGACTTTTCAAGCGTTGGTTGTTAAAGAGTTTAACATTGTGTTAAAATTTTTTTTATTTGAGGTGAGCTTGAGGTGTTGAGGTGTTCGATTTTGTGAAAGAGCCTATGGCTAATATGTTTGTACTTACTTCAAATATAAAATCCACCAATGCACATTGATAAGAAGAAACGGCTCATATTATCTTTATTTACGGCATTTTGCTTGTTCGGTTTTCAAAATATAGTAATAGTAGAGTGAAGAACCAGCTAAACAAAAAGCTGTAGCAGATGTGGCTGCAATATGATGCTTTCACTATTGTTTCTCTTAGGCACCAATTGAATATTCTAATTTCTGTCCTGGAAAATACATATCTTCAAAAATAGGTAATTAGCTTTAAAAAATGACAACCTTAGCCTGGGATCTTCGGTCCATCAGAATAATTTACACTCTCCCAAATCGCAAATATCCAAGGCTAAAAAAAAAATATTCCCTTTCGATAGACTGTTAATGTATCTTATAGTAGAGGTCCCTTCAATGGCCACAGTATCGTTTAATTTTATTGAATATATCATGCTCCAGTACTGATATACTCAATAATTTTTTTGGAATTGATCTTTTGATTGTTGTTACACGATGTATACTCAGTTACGTTGGCATTTTATAATGATCAGACTTAGTCCGGAACTACATTTGGAAATCGTTTGGTTCTAATATTCACTTTTTGGGAGATTTTGCGGAAGGAGTTTGGTTTGCGGGATTTCAAAATCCACTGATTCCGACATTCACAAAAAAAATTTGTTCAGCGATGAAACGTATTTTTTATTAAATACGTATATAATTTACACTGGCCGACACTCATTTTGGTGCCTCAGCTTTTATACCTGATTTTGGATGTATTTTGTGAGTTGATACGAGAAAATAAGACACATTTTCCATATCAGTTCTTGTTCATAAGAAAGAAGAAAAGAACATCTAGTAGCGGGAATGTGGGATGCGCGCAGAGCTGCACCAAAGCAAAAAATTTTTTTTGTAGGCCAGAGTTAGTAAATAAAATTGTCGCATTTAGAATGAACATAATCCATAAGCTAATGTTAAGACGCCTTTGCATGCTCAAAAAGTCACTATTTGCTTTACTCTATGGGTAATGGGTATCATTAGTCTATATTTCTTTAAAAGTGATGCCAACCATAATGTTACGGTCAATGGAGAACCCTATAGAGCCATCATGAGTAACTTTTTCGAGCTTGATTTGGAGGATGTTGATGTGAACGACATTTAGTTACAACAAGACAATCTTTGGTGAGCGCATCATCTCCCGTCTTGGGGTTGTGGCCACCAATCCCGTGCAATTTAATACTGCTGAACTTTTTTTAAGGGGTGGTGTGAAGTTAATATTTCAGAGACTTAACAAATATTATAGCTTGGTTGGCTTCATTAGGCGAAGTGCATTATTAGAATGCGAAATTGTTTTAAGACCATTCCAGAAAATAATTTGCTTTGTTGTTGTCTCATTACAAGTCGTCCCAAAACCTGCGTTCCATGTTGGTAGTTAGACAACAAAAGAAAATGCTGGATGGGTCACCAATACATTTACATTTGTTAGGTCAGTCGTGATGTACAACTTACTTGACAACTGACCGTCACTTTATTCGCAAAAAAGGGACACCGATGATATACATATGTATGTACTACGAGTATATTTATATATGCATGCATGGACATCAACGAAAATGACGCCTACGGCGAAATAATAAATTAATCGAAAGGAAAGTCACCACCTTATCTGTTATATCTGCGAATAAAAGTTTTCTCACTGGGTTGATGTTAAGCCAGAGAATACACAAAAAAAGTCAAAATTTATTTATAAAGAAACGCTTTTCTTTCACATTCCTGTACATTTTTTGTTGACCAAGAAAAATAAAGCAAACTGTTAGAAATTAGAAATCTGAAGTTGACATGTTTAGACTGCAGCGTTTATTTGTGCTAAAAAAAGGTTACTTCAACGGTAATAATAAGTTTGTATACAGTATAGTACATACTTAGATTAATGTACTATTACACCCTTACAAGAGCTAATTTTTCAGTTTTAAAGATATCAAAGTGCATATCTCCAATAATTCACCCATTTGTCAGAAAAGCCAATATAATATGTACAAACTGACTGACAAAAAGGCACTTTTTTACGCTTTATGCCAGCAGAAGTTGCAACTGTGAAGGGTTTTATAGCTTCAATGCACCCAAAGTATCGATATGATTAAGGAAAATATCATTTGTTACATTTTAATATATGTAGATATTTAGAAACTTGGTCAACTCTCTTCAAATCTTTGCTTCATGTTTGTCCTACATTAAATAAACAAAACAAAAGTTCGCCAATAACCTTGAAATTGTAATTTGCGTAGTAAATAAAAGCATAACAAGTAAGGAAGGGCTAAGTTCGGGTACAACCGAACATTTATACTCTTGCAACTTGCAATAATCAAAGCCAGGGAAATGCATTAAGGTGTAAAACCAGTCATATAGAGTGAAATCAGCCGGATATTCGAAAATATTGGCATTAGTTATATAGGAGCTATATATAGCTATTTGTCAAGTCTTCGCTCAAATTTATCTATTTCATGATAAAAGATACACTGTTTTGAATAAAACGCGATCTCTTATTTCCATTGGGATAACTCACATATTGGTCGATATACATATGCGGCACAAGGTCCCACAAGGATAGAAAATCTTTATATTAAGTATATGGCGACTAAGGGAAGTATTGGTTCGATTCAACCCATTTTTGACATACCATTATATGAGAAAGATTATCCCTTAATTTCAGTTATTTATGTCACACATTGACCGACATTTTCGATCAAAAGTCAACTATAGGTACCCCGGGTCTTGAACAACTTTTGGTCATAAGTGGCACACACTAAAGACATTAATCGTGCAAAGTCGTCATTTTCTTTTTGATTTGTTTACTGGAAACTGAAGGAATCAAGTGCAATTTAAATTTGTGCTATAAGGGAAGTAGGCGTGGTTGTAGACTGATTTTAATAATCTTAATACTGTGACATAAGAATGTAAGGAGAATTCAAATTATTAGAAGGCGGGGCCACGGGGTCTTTTTCAAAAAATTTTGCCCACAGATGCCTTTTACTACTGTGATGCTCTGTACCAATTTACAGTTTTAAATATTATTTTGAGCTAAGTTATTGCACTTTATTTGTGTTCGGCTAATGGCGATTTGTGGGCGTCGCAGTGACCCGATTACACCTACATATCTACGAACGCAAATCTTTTTTGTACTAAGGAATCCTAATATCAAGTTTCATCAAGATATCTCAATTTTTACTCAAGTTACAGTTTGCACGTACGGACAGACAGACTTTCAGCATCGTCATCCTCATCATTTACATATATAACTCTTTATCTATCTCGCTTAGTTTTAGGTGATACGTACAACCGTTAGGTGAACAAAACTATAATACTATGTTCTTGTGAATATTCAGTGTTCCGCTGAGCTTTGAGCTTTATTTTATCTTTTTGTGCAGTTCTAGATGACTGCGTTCAATTCTACATAAAAATCTAAAACTATTTCGATTATTTTTGTTCTCGTTTAGTGTTATTTTTTTACCTTTCTATTATTATGGCAACTGTGATTGTTGTAAGAGCACTCTTAATTTTTGTGTCGACCACCACGCTCTTAAGAGAGCTGTTCCAATCTTGCTCTCTTACATATTTTTCGTTAAAATATCTCATATTTCGGATTCCTAACTTTCAGTTCAAGAGCGTTCAGCACCAGATAATTTGTTTTAAAAGAATTTGTGAAATCGAAAAAGGGAACAATAATTACATTATTTATTCACATCGACGACAGCAAGGATTCAGGCACTACAAAACAGTTACGCATTTCACTTTCGGGTAATGAGCACCTTACTACCCAACAGGAATTTTCTTCATCAAAGACTGATACACATGACTTGTCAACAGATTCAGGCTTCCCACCAATGGCCCATAGTTTATTGTCTAGCTATACGCAAGCTATTTGACCACCGCCAACTTCCAAAGAACAAATCTGCGAAATTTTTCAAGAATATTCAGTTTGGGATTGGCGAAAATCAACTCAATATATGTACCTGTGACCATATTCTAGCTGAAGGTCGTAACCTTCAGCACCGCTACGGCTTAAAACATAAATGTGACCTCTATGTGCAGCTACCTGTAATATAAAAAAAGTAATAAATGTTGTATTTAGTTTTAATGGAGCTAACAGGGCGGCTAAATAAATTAGTGACTATTTTCAGTTAGACAATTTTGGTAATTCTTATTGAAGCGGAGTTACTTTTGCTGGTTTTGAAAATTTTGGGGAAGGCTTGCAGCGGTAAAATCAAATGGAATCTCTTATTATAGCGGCAGTACGCATTTCACAAATAAATTTTAAAACTCTCAACAGAATACGAATTCCGATTACGTACATTCGTCTTTAGTAAAAGACGTACTTAAATAACCTTGTAATATGCCGTTCTTCGACTCTTCCTCATTCTACCAAATCATGACTTGATTAACGTTCTACTAATATTAATAATTATATTTTAATCTAACCTACACCAGGTTATCTGTGACCGTTTGTCATATCCGCGCAAGAAGTCCAAGCATCCAAATCCGGATTGTAACATTCGACAGATTTTAATGGCCAGTAGCCATCACAACCGCCCATAACGTAAATTTTACCATTCAAAGTCACAGCAACTGCGTCATATCGTCCATCAATTAAGCAGTTCACAAGCTTCCAACCATCGGAAGTCGTATATCTGGAAACAAACAAAAGCAATGAAAAGATAATGCATATCTATAAACTGAGGCGTCAAAAGTGGCTTTTCGTCATTTTGCATAGTCTATTAAACAAACTTATAATTAATCTAATTAAGTCGATGACAATCTCAAAGTGTTAGAGTTTTCTAAAGTCAGATTCAATCAGATCGTAACATTTCACTGAATTTCTTCCTTTTTTCATGCCGAAGTAACTTATTTTGTTTATTATCCATACTACCCTAACACATCTAGTCTAAAGTGCTTTCACCATTATGCTTAAAGTCAACCTGAAAATGTTAAAGCTCACAATCGCCATCGTTAGGTAATTCGTTACAGATTTATATATATTCACCTTTCCACCGATTCACTAGTACCCTCATAACCACCCATCGCGCAGATTTTACCACATAATTTGACAACGCAGTGTCTCCTTCTTGCTTGGTTCATGGCGGGTAAATTTTGCCATGTCTTATTTCGTATATTCCAGCTGCGGACGACGTTAAATGTGGCACCACTTTTACAACCGCCAACAAATAATACATTATCATCCTTTAAAATAGTTCTATACTCTCTGTAATCGACTTTTAACTGGCATATTCCTGCCACTTATCTACATCACATCCAGGTAACGGCTGTATCTGTGTCATCAGACAGTCCACTTTGAATTGGGTAAGCCGAAGACAAGCTATTAAAATAAATATCCTAAATAACTAAATATATGTGTATGTTTATATATATGTATGTTGGCTATTGTTTGAACCTATGTCGTGTGACCTTGGGTTTGTTTTAATGTGCGTACATTTACAAACAGTTGCTAAAATGTATTCTAAGAACCCATGGGTTATCATATGCAAACATCTTATCCTTAATAATGTTTGTGTTATTGTCTGTTGATTGCATGATTGCTATTGTTAGTGACTGCTGGAAATATGACCACAGCTTGCGATCCTGTCATGGTCGACAACTAAGTGACATTCGCGATGACTATGCACCTTCCTGTGTTGTATCAGTGATAGTTTGCACGTAACTATTTCTTCAAATTCGTGTCCTGGCGGCTTTTCCTCTTTGACGTTAGACGACGGTATACCTTTCATTTTACGTTTCTTTTTTTGTATCCTTGTATACTCTTCTGGACTGATTCCATCCTTCGCTGATTTTTGTATGCAATATCGATGACTCCATTCCTTGACTTTTGTGCCCAATTTTGCTGCATTTTGATGCGTTGGTGTGCATCTGTTTCGTCGACTACTAGTCCGTTGAGGTGCTTTCCTTTTGTTTTTAGTTGCAGAATCATGGTTCTGCATTTTAGCAGTTTTGCGAGCTGCAATTGTTGCCTGCTTTTTATAATTTACGAAATCTTTTCCGTTTTTGATAAGGTTCGAATTTGGCTCACCTAAAACATCTTTGCACTTTCTCGGCAATTGTGTTGGTTTGTTCCAAACTTTTATTTCCTCTTTCTTCTCAAACGTTACAGCATCATCTTCCAAAATGTGGTCAAACGATTTAACCTGGACTTCACTTTTCCACATTTCTCCAAAATGTGAGCGTGCCGGAAGAGATAGATGACAAGCTACCAATTCAGTTGGGTTTTCTTTAGTTTTTGAAGGTTTATGAAGTTCTTCAAGATTCTCCTTCTTCTTCAACTTAATTTTTTTTTGTTTTTTGTCTTCCTCTATTACTTCTGCTGTTTCTTCCTCAGCAGAAGACAGATATATACAAGGTAGATAAAAGATTGGAACTTTTGTACATTTTAAATCCGAGTCAAATCGGTACAAAACTTCTGGTTCTTCTTCTATCGTAAAATCTTCTAACAGCACATCACGCTGAAGAGAACTGTACGTATTTCGGGCTCTTCTTCTTGTAATCTCGCATTACAAAGTTTGAGAATACTCCGTCGTTATTTCAAAATACAAATTTTAAAATCCAAGAAAATATTTGAAAAGTACTTTGTGTGAAAATTATGCATTTAAAGAAACACATATTTTCAAAAGTTTGATATCATTACTTTTCATTGTAATGATTTTGTGGAGATCATCCATTACTTTTGAATTGAATTTTCCTCTTGAATATGAAGATTCCAAGACTCAAATCAAATGTATCTGATTTGAATTTATTTGTCATGTCAGACTTTGTTGGAAAAGTGTTGGACGTGTGCAACACTGTTTCGGATAAATCCGCTTGGGCATCAAGAATTTTGGTCCTGTTTATACCCATAATTTTTTTTCGCAACACTTTTCGTATTTGTGTAACTGTTGGTATTCTCCAAAGAAATCATTGGAGGTATATTGATTTGGTCGCCTGGTGGACCTTGCTGTACCTCGACTCACAGCCGCTGAATATCTTTTGGATAGCAGTTAGATTACTGCGTTTAGTCTCTATTTTTATTTAAGCAATATAAATTAAAAATGTATGAATTGAAAATGTATGCTGTGATCAACTTTATTGGCCAGGACGTGTGCTCCGGCTTAAGCTTAACTTAAATCTGACTTAGCCTAAACCCTAACTTAACCATTAAGACCTAATAAAGCAAATCCAGTAGTCGACGCTGCCGGCTTTGACGTCTGTATCGTGCTGACTCAGCTTCATCCAATTGTTTATCCAATTGGTGATAGTGCAAGCAACGCTGGTCAACTGTTTACGCAGTCGGCTATTAACACTGTCTACGTAATCTGCAAGCTTTAGTGGCGGTCGTTGCCCACACAATCTGCTGATGAGGCAAGATGTTGTATTGGCCTCACCACATTCGTACCCAATTGGAAATTGGGCATTATCTGTTAATTTATATACCCGTCTTACAATTTAATTTTGCCTGTATTTATATTAATTACAGGGCTTACTTTATTTTATTTGCCCATATTTTTTATATTTTTTTTCAGGCTCGATAGAACCAAATGTTTAAACTCAACAACGATTTACCATTCCTTACCTCTGGTGGGGGGTATTCAAACACATATATTAAATTGTTCACTTCAAAACAACCCCATGTCAAGCAGCAAAAAACAATATGCTGCAATACAAACACACATACAGTCCACTAATATTAAATATCTGTATCTGTATTGAAATATATAGAACATACATACACATATACAGAAACAGTAACATACTTAAAATGCATTGTCCTGGGAAACAATAGCAATCAACAGACAATAACACAAACATTACTAAGGATAAGATGTTTGCATATGATAATATTATGGCAGAGTTATGGGTTCTTACAATACATTTTAGCAACTGTTTGTAAATGTACGCACATTAAAATAAACCCAAGGCCACACAACATAGTTTCAAACAATAGCCAACATACATACATACATATAAACATACACATATATTTAGTTATTTAGGATATTTTTGGAAAATAGTATATAAGGCTTCCAAATTTAAAAATAAAATCAGAATGAAAGATTTCTGACTTGACGAAAGACTGTTTGAATTCCCCGCACCAGAGGTAAGGACTGATAAATCTTTGTTGAGTTTAAACAGTGCAGCAGTTTCTACTATGTGCGGACAGCTGTCAGTCAGAGATCGGCCGCAGATTTAGTGTACACCAGACAACTTGGAAGAAAACTTCCAGGTGCCTTTATTTTGTTGAAATATTTTAAACAATATTGTAATTTTTTATTACAGAAGGAAAGTTAAGTGACTAGTAATGGGCACGATTTTTTCCCAAATACTTGCGCTTCAGAGTAGTGAGCAGAACCGTTTCATGGAGAAACTAATGACGAAAATACTTAACTTCTACGACGAGCAGTCTCTGATCGATGTGACATTTAAAGTTTCAAACCCAACGGCTCTGTAAGTATTAATTTGTCCTCAGCTTACATAAAATTATATAGATTAATATTCATAATTCCTTTTCAGTGTACCCGCGCATCGATTGATACTCGCAGCAGCGAGTCCTTACTTCGAGAACCTTTTCAATGGCCATCAAGGCACTAATCCAGTCATCGAGATAAATGATATCGATAGCGATATTTTTGAGCATGTAATAACATTTTGTTACACCGGACAGGCTCTCATTACCGTTAACAATGTCGCTGCCCTGCTAAAAGCGGCAATCGCTTTGCAATTGGACGATGCAAAAAACAGTATTTTGGACTATCTCATGACACATATCGATGAATACACTTTACAGGGTGCTTATACGCTAGAGCGTGAAACGAAATGTGAAGTTCTTAAGCAGAAAATCATCGAATACGAGACACAGAACTTCATGGAGGTGAGTCTAAATATACACGTAATGTCTCACAACAACGACACCTGTGTAATTTTGTTTCTAATAATACTAGATCAGCCGAAGCGATGAGTTTTTGAATTTTGATGTAGAAAAATTGCAACGTATTCTGGTATCTGACAATTTGAAAATAACCCGTGAGGAAGATGCCTACGATGCCATACAACGCTGGTATAATTACGATGTTCCTGCGCGTCAAGAGCAACTGCCACTTTTAATAGCTTGCCTCCGGCTTACCCAACTTGATGCGGACTTTCTGTTGACACACATACTGCCATTATCTGGATGTGAGCTACTGACCTTCAAGGCGTTATCGTGGATCGGAGTGCCTAAAGCACGGCCAATGATAAATATGCGATTTACAGAACCACGTGGGATCAATGCTACAAATTGTGGTGAGAAAACGATCCTAGCGGTTTGCTCAGAGGTAAAATCAAACTGTGGCTTATGTTCAAAAATGGTAATCTTATATTAATGTATTTACAATATTTTTGGAAAAGCTGAATCCAAAGCTGCTGCAATATAACAAAACTGAGGATAAGTGGCAGGAATATGCGAGTATAAAAATCGATTACGCATGTTATAGAACTATTTTAAAGGATGAGAATTTATTATTTATTGGCGGTTGTAAAAGTGTTGCCACATTTAACGTCGTCCGCAGCTGGAATATACGAAATAAGACATGGCAAAATTTGCCCGCCATGAACCAAGCAAGAGCATTTCACTGCGTTGTCGAATTAGATGATAAAATCTATGCGATTGGTGGTTGTGATGGTAATGTTTTGTCGTCGGTGGAAAGGTGAATATATTAATGAATCTGTAAAACATTACCTAACAATAGCGATTGTGAGCTTTAACAATTAAAGGGTGGCTTTAAGCTTAACGGCGAAAGAACTTTGGACTAGATGTGTTAGGGTAGTATGGATGAGAAACAAAATAAGTTACTTCGGCATGAAATAAGGAGGGAATTCAGTTAAATATTATGTTTTGAATGAATCTGACTTTAGAAAACTCTAACCCTTTGACATTGTCAACGACTTCTTCAGAATAATTTAAAGTTTTTTTTAATAGACTATGCAAGGGGACGAAGTGTCACTTTTGAGGCTTCAGTTTAAAAATGTGCCTTCCTTTTTCATTGCTTTTGTTTGTTTTCAGATATACGACTTCCGATGGTTGGGTGTTTGTGACCAGCTTAATTGTTGGACGATCATACGCAGGTGCAGTGACATTAAATGGTAAAATTTACGTAATTGGCGGTTGTGATAATGGTTGGAATTTAAAATCCGTCGAATGCCACAATCCGGATTCGAATACTTGGACTTCTTGCGCGGATATGACAATAAGTCACTTTTTACCTAGTGTAAGTTAGTTTGAAATATAATTATTAATATTAGTAGAACATCATCAAGTCATGATTTGGTAGAATGAGGAAGAGTCGAAGAACGGTATATGACAACTTTACTTAAGTGTTTAAATATTAACATTCGACTCGATAGATTTCTTTTACTATATTATTCGTATTCAAATTTATTTGTAAAATACGTACTGAGAGGTTTCGTTTGATTTCACCGTTGCGACCCTTCCCTAAAGTTTTCAAAACCAGCAAAACTAACTCGTCTACAATAAAAATTACCAAAAGTGTCTAATTTAAAAGTCACTGATTTGTTTAGTAGCCCTCTTAACTCAATTACATTTAAATACAAGGTTTATTGCTACTTCTTATATTACAGGTAGCTGCACATAGAGGTCACATTTACGTTTTAAGCCGTAACGGTGCTGAACGTTACGATCTTCAGCGAAACACATGGTCACAGGTACATATATTGAGTTGATTTTCGCTAATCGCTTGAGGTCAAACTGAATATTCTTGAAAACATTTCCCAGCTTTGCTCTTTGGAAGTTGGCGATGGTTATATGTCTTGCATATCACTAGACAATAAACTATGGGCTATTGGTGGGCAGTCTAAATCTGCTGACAAATCAAGTGTATCAGTCTTTGATGAGGAAAATTTCTGTTGGGTAGAAAGGGGCTCATTACCCCAAAATGGAGTTTTTAACTGTTTTGTTGTGCCTGAATCATTGCTGTCGTCGCTGTGAATAAAAAATTTAATTATTGTTCGGTTTTGCGTTTAAACAGAATCTTTTAAAATATATTATCTTATAAAAATAATATAAAACTTCACTATTGTCATACAAAAATAATTATTTTGGAAGCAGGGGATGGTGCTAAAGGTGCTTGAACTGAAAGTTAGGAATCCGTAATATGCGACACATTCTTAAATCGGTTGAATCCACCAGTTTGACGACAACTGGTGTAATAAATATGTATGTGCGTAGATATAGTATGTATATTTGTACTTGATCTATAAGAGCATGTTATATCCTTGGATTTACGAAAAATATGTAAGAGAGCAAGAGAGGAACAGCTCTTAAGGGCGTGGTGTTGGACACAAAAATTAAGGGTGCTCTTTCAACAGTCACATGAAATGTAAATAAAGTAATCGAAATAATTTTAGATTTTTATGCAGAATTGAAGTCAATTATCTAGAACTGTACAAACAAGATCAAATAAATCTCAGAGCTCTGCGGAACGCTGAAGATTCACAAGAACGGCAACTATAAAGCTAAAAATAATGTCTGGTTTCAAATAAATAGGGGAAAGTAAATTATGTTTTCAATTACCATTGTCTTTTTCATTTTTTCACACTTTGGTTTCTTTTTATACTCTCGCAACAAAGTTGCTAAAGAGAGTATTATAGTTTTGTTCACATAACGGTTGTTTGTAAGTCCTAAAACTAAAAGAGTCAGATATAGGGTTATATATACCAAAGTGATTAGGGTGACGAGTAGAGTTGGAAGAAATCGGATAATGACCACGCCCACGTCCCATACAAAGGTTGTGTTGAAAATCACTAAAAGTGCGTTAGCCGACTAACAAAAAACACCAGAAACACTAAATTTTACCGAAGGAATGATAGACGGAAGCTGCACCCAGGCTTTTTTTTAAATTGAAAAAGGGCGTGGCGTCGCCCACTTATGGACCAAAAACCATATCTCAGGAACTACTCCACCGATTTTAATGAAATTCGGTACATAATATTTTCTTAACACCCTGATGACATGTACGAAATATGCTTGAAATCGGTTCACAATGACGCCTTCTTGCAATATAACGCTATTTTGAATTCCATCTGATGCCTTCTCTATATAATATATACATTAGGAACCAATGATGATAGCGGAATAAAACTTTATACAAATACGGTTTTGTGGAAAAATTGTCGTGATCGGACTATAACTTTTCAATACAATTAAAATAAATGAAAATATAATTCAATACTCAAAGAACACAAATTGATCTAATCTAATTAATTTTTCTGCAAAATAAAAAAAATATGTAAATGACGGATAAATAAATCTCGATTATCACTTTATCAAGCCAGAGTATAAAATATTCGGTGACACCCGAACTTATTATTATTATATTTAACTAAATGTGATGCCACAAATCTTTTGACCCCCCCTGCCCCTTGTCAAACAATGTCACTTCTGAACGATAAAATCAGATGTCTGTTGCTGTTATTCTTCACAGTAGGTCAGATCTTTGACTCTTGCCTCAACATCTGAAAAAGTGATTCGCATTGTTGTTAGAGGTTTTCAATGAATGCGAAGAAAAGTAATGCTTCTATGGAAGAATGTGTATTCTGCATATAGTGGTATCTCGACTTACGAGTGCCCCAACATACGAGTTTTTCGAGATACGAGCCGACGAGCAAGTGACTTTTTGCTTTTAGTTACGAACGAAATTCGAGATACGAGTGGCTTAAAGCTGTAGCTGAAAGGAACTATGAAGAATTGGAACCCGGTGTTTCAGTAGAAGAGGAGATTGTATTTCTGGGGAGTACATTGGTCTAGAGGTGGAAGAGAGAGACGTGAACGAGCTCATCGAGGAGCACACCCAGAAACTGATAACTGACGAGATACAAGAGTTACAGTCACAGCAGCATACTGAGGTTATGCAAGAAATTGGTTTTGAGGAGTCAGAGGAGGTAGTTATTTCTACAAGTGAGATAAAGGAGATCTTAGGAATGTGGGAAAGAGTTTCACAGTACGTGGAAAAAAACCACCCAGAAAAAGTTGCAACAGGTCGTGTATCTGACCTTTTTAATGACACTTGCCTAACTCATTCTGAGAGGGAGGAAGAAATAAACCTCCTTGGACATGTTTTTTTCTAAACGGCCTATATGTGAAAGCGAGAAAAATTTAGCCGAAAAGGCAAAGTCACTGGTCTAATTTATTTCTTTACATTCTCTTTTTTGTTTTTGTGTAATAAATATTTGATATTTTTAAATACGTTTTTATTCAAAACCGTGTAACAAAAATAACTGGGGTGACATTTTGGAGGTTGGAACGGATTTATGGTAGTTCAATTGTTTTGTAACGTGAAATTTGCTTCGAGATACGAGTAATTCAAGATAGGAGCAAGGTTGCGGAACGAATTAAACTCGTATGTCGAGGTACCACTGTACTTATTTATTTTCTTAATTCGGGCTTGTAAGCCGATGTGTTTCCCACTCATGTTGCTGGCATTATAATAGCTTTTCCCACGAAAATCTTTGATATTAATGCTACTCTCACTCAAGAAATCGGGTAAACTTTGAGCGAGTTGTTCAGCAGTCTGACCTTCCATGTCCAAGAGCTTAACAAATATTTCCACTGGTCCAGACGGCAGAACATGACTTGAGACTCTGAAACACCTTGCTCTTAAGGCTGGACTGAACTGAAAGAATTTGCCCTCTTAAGAGATCAGCGTTCATTTGGAAAAAAAAATAACTAGATAGAACATTTAAAATTTCACGGCAGCTTTATTTTGATACAAAAATTAATGGATATTAACAAAAAAATAAAAATCTGGACGCTTGAAGGGTAGAAATGTACCTAGTATAGATACTAGTCTAAATATATCGATTATAATATTTATAATTAAACATTAGAACATTAAAATTAAGAAGTTCGTAAAATGCCTATTTATTTTTACAATTTAACGTGATGAAATCGACTTTTAGATTTTCAAGTGGAAGGTCGAAGTGAAGCATAGCCTAAGCGCTTCGCGTTTAAGGCATGCAAGGATATTTTACGCTCCATCTAAATTGATATTTTTATAATTACGGTCAGTTGGAGCGCGAGGCCCCCCGATTCGCGGGGCCCGTAGCATTTGTTACTCTTGCTGTTTGTGAGTGAGCATGTGAGTAAAAATGTGATAAAAACACATTTTATAGAGCTAGATTGAGAAGCGATACTATTTCGGGCAATTTAGTCACTTTAAATAAATCAATTTCAGTTGGTCTGCATTTAATGCAAGATCAGCGCAAGTCCTTACTGTCAAGAATAGAATCCAAAATTCTTCTTGTCAGTCCAGCATATTTCAGATGGGCAAGCCCGTCACACAGCCAGCAAGAAACAAAGCGTTCCGACTCACCTTTAACAGAGCAATTCGGGAAATTACAAGTCATAATGATAATAAGCAGCAATAAGAAATTTAAATAAAAATATAAAGTAAGAAACTCGCAAACAGCTGTGAACAAAGATGGAAAACGAATAAAAACAAGAAATAAATTTAGATAAGCAATATAAGTTAACACCAACAATTGCACTATTTTGGAATATAGCAACAAAAACAAATTGAGAGTGACTCGGCGGAATAGATTACAATTATCAACACACAATTTAAGTAAAATTCAAATGCTTTAATAGAAAAATATCACAGGCATACTTATCTGTACGGATCACTCAATTCAAAAATTTTCACAACAGTTTTAAAATATAAATTAAACAAATTAACAGGAGCTCGAAATTACACAGCTGAACTCGAGAGACGCCATATACATATCAAAAATACTGAGGAATTTTCGGCGTAACTTCCCTAAAATAAAGAAATACTATTTAGAGTGATATTATTTAAATGTAATTAGAAAAGCATATATTTCAGAGTCTTCTTGAAATATGTTGTATTTTCTAAAGTTTTGACTTACTTAACAAGCAGTAGGGAACGTAAGGCCGTTTTCCAATTCTATTTATTAATAATCCTTGAATATTGAATTTAATTGAGCCAAGCTTTTTAAAAGTATTTGCCATTTCAATAAGAGATATCGGTCCATAATAAGCATATAAACAGCGGATCTACAAACCACGTGCTACGATAACTTCCTTTACGATTATACTTGTATTATTTCAATAAAACAATACGAAAGTAGGTTTAAGAGTTCTCACTTGCGTTGCTATTCCGTGATATCGTGAGGAGTAAGCAAACTCATTTTAGAAATTTTCAAATTCAGAGACGGAGACGGAGACAGCTGACAAATAGCAATTACGCTTAATACGCGTTGCTGACAGGAGTTTGTTGCCTTCATGCCACGATGTTTCAGAAAGTACTTACTAAATTTACATGGCTTTAAGCGAAGTATGCAAAGTGAGTTGGAGGCCCTGCAGTTACTTCTGAATAAAATTTATTTATTTGCTCATTATTTATTTAAGTGGGGGTGTTCACATGCTTCCTAATTACATACCCTTAGATATGCAATAAAACATAGTACAAATGTAGTAGAAAAATATCGCTGACTATTCATTTTCACTTACTCGCAATTACAATATTTGGCAATTTCACCAAAATAAATATCAACACCATAAAATTTGTTACTATAAAGTGTATCCGATCTATATATGAAGAAAATCTACAAATCACAAATTTCCAATTTGTTCCCAATAAAATGTATTCTACCAATAAAGTTAATTTCACCAAGGAATATTTGCTTATATGTATGTGTTTGATAAGAATAATGCCAGAAAAAGATTTCAACTAGGAACTTTTGAAATCATAAAATCGAATTGGGTTGCATATGTATCATTGCATACAATCATTTACGAATAAGTGTTAGCATAGAGCATATGCTCTCAAACACAATTGTATTTTTTTATGAGTTTTTCCTGACCTAGCTGTTGATGAAGAGATCGTAAGAGAATTTAAAAGAAAATATTTGTTTCACGTACACTTAAAGATGTGCGAATATCTCAAACCGAATTGTACAATTATAAGCAAA